ACTCAGCACTGCCTTAGCTCACCATCCCACCAGCCCCAAACCTCGCTCTTCAGCATGGCCCACTTGGGCACATACACGCTAACTACCTAGCTCTGACTCCAGACAAACACGGAGGCTCACTGTTCACTGGCAACATGGCAGCTCCCCTCCTGAGAGGAACGGAAAACCTACCAGTGTTTCTCTCCTGAAGGGTTTGATTCGGCCTTTGCATGAAACAACCTGGTAGACAACACCAGATTCGTAATCTGGTTTAGCAGACGGTTGTCATGGGGTAACTTGCAGCTACTTTGTTTTCCCTCAAAACTGTGCGACTGTAATGTGGTGATAGCCTTAAACAGGCTAAGTGATGGAAAAGACATAAATAAGGGGGGAAAAAAAACTATGCCCATTTTTCAAAGAAAAATGCAAACGCAAATTTTTCAAAGAAAAATGTAGTATATTCGAAAGTCATAGACAAGAAAAATCTGGCATACACACTAGAATGTATATTGTATACATATAATATCTCAATAAATGCTCAAAACTTGCCTCAGCAAAGAAAAAACAAACATTCACGTGATTTAACACACATTTTTCATGCAAGAACTGTGATGCCTAATTATACATGTTTCTTTTTTAACCTTAATTAATAAGTAAAACAGTCATCTCTAAGTTGAAATTAAACAAAGAAGGGCTTGACAAAAAGTCTGTTTTGAAAAAAATGAGCGAGCACGAGCAGTTGTACTGGCTTGCAAAGGGAGGCTGTGTGCATACGAACACTGGGGAGCAGATATATGGTCCCCTCCTGGCCAAGCTCCTCACCCTACTCCGAGCAAGAGGCTAAGGTGGGATCCTCTTCTCTCCGGGTAGGAGAGCAGGAGCAGCCCCTGCACTTCCCAGCCACGGCTGAAGCACCTTCTTGGGCCCCCTCCCCACGCGGCCTTTGCTCACTTTGACCAACCAAAAATTCCCTGTGTTATTCTCAACACAGCTGCGTTTGCCCCGCGCCCACAGCACCTGCAGGTCTCCATCTCACCAGGCTGGCTCACACATGGGACAGTAGTCACTTACTGTGCTTCCGCTCCCGTGTGGCACTGTCAGGGAAATTCGTTTGGTCTCTCTCACTACAATTGTTTGTCTTAAAGCACTTAGAATAACTAAATATCTGCATAAATCCTCATTCGGGCTATCTTTGGAAGAAATGCCATGATAAATACCAGCAGATTCTCCTCTCACATCTATAAAAACACAATTCAAGCCTGTACAGCAAAGACAGTCAGGGACATACATTTAACAACCCTATGGATATGATGTACCCACTGGCACTACCAAATTTCATGCAGATGGTGAAGCATGATGCAGGTTTGATTGCTCCAGCAATCAAACCAGTTAGTAATTGAAAATAAAATGATGAGCCTTCAAGAAACACACAGTTTCACAAGTATGGCTTTTAATAGCTGCTGGAGTATCTTGGATATAACAAAGAACACATGTAACTTCTATTTCTGATGAGGAAAAGACAAAAAGAATGAAAAAAGTTTTCCTCTAACACTACATAATTCAACTAACTTTTCAAGCTCTTCTTTCCTTGCAGTTGTTGAGATAATAATTATTTTCCGAAAGACAGTAAATATGCTGGTCCCTATAGCAAAAAGAAATCTTAGAAGGTTTCTGTCTACATTATCTGATAAGGAAGAGGTGACAGTAAGCAACGCCTTTGCTTCCACAAGGGGATTTCTACCTTTCCTATATTCTCCCTTTACTAATGCCCTTGCCTAGACAGATGCACACACATGAAGCCCCACACCTGCCCCACGTCATCTGTTACCCAGCCTTGCGATGCTGCCTTGGCCCTGGCCACCCTACATGGCTGATGCTCTCTAAGGAGTCCAAAAAAGCCCGGGACTTGAGAGCTTGCGACAGCCTGCAGCCCGGCACAGCACCAGCTGCACCATATTTATCTACTTGTTTATCAAAGAGTTTCCCCCTCATTGTGTGGATAACTGACCTTAGCCACAGCTAATAGGACATGAGCTTCCTTGAACTATGCAGCTTTACGCTGAATCTTACAAAACACTCCAGTGTTATCCATCTAGCCTCACTGAGCTCCTAATGGACTGAAACACATTCTCTCTCCAGCCCTGGCATCCCGCACGAGGTGCGGTGTGGAGAGCTGCAGAGCCTGGCCCGACGGGCGCCGTGGCCATCTGTTCCTGCAGGCCAGCGCCTCGCTGCTTCCACCAGCCTCTTCGAGAGACAGAGCAAGGCAACTCGGGGAGACTTGTGCCCCCCTTCTCCACCGCTCCGTCTCCATGCTCACTGGCTGGAGGCCTCAGCCCGCTGCCCTGACGTGCGGCCGCGCTCCAGGACGCGCGGGGAGCCAGGCACGGAGCTCAGCTAATTGCTCCGGAATTTCACCCCTCTCAGCCTTGAGCCTCTCCACAGGCAAGGAGCTGCACGTTCTGTCTCGACGAAAAACGCAACAACTTTAGCGATCACGTAAGCCCTGCTCAGGCACCCTGGTTCCACTAAATCAGATGACATTCTTATCAACTTATTCCAGACATGTCCAACTACGTCAAACTTTTTTTTTTTTTCTTTTAAATAAGAAACTAAGAAGCAGCAACTGACACAAAAGCAAAGATTGTATCAACTGTCCCATTTGTTCATAGGAGGACTTTTTGGGGGGTTGTACTATATGGAATTGGCTAGGTTGGAAATGAGTTGCCGGAAAGGGCATAAAAGAACACTTTCTGCTTGGCGGCTTCCGGTTTTTTTTTTTTTTTTTTTTTAATAATACTATTTTTATTACAGTCAAACTACTCAACTTACAGTTATTTTTCGCCAAGTCACAGTTGGGGGGGTTATTTCAAGACTCTATCTCTTTAGTTTTAATTTCTAGAAAGATGCAATTAGTGTTTGATCCATTCAGATTCTGTCGATAAACTCAAACTTAAGTAGATGTTAAACTGATTATTGATTAAAGTCTGTCACTTTAACCAATACTGCCCCAAAGGTTAGATATCCATCACATATAAATACAAAATGCAATAAACTCTGAGATAACACTTCCAACTGCAATTAATTTGCATTTGTGGGTTAGTACCCTTGTACAAAAATATATCCTCTTTTAATTCTTCAGTGCAAGCAAGCTGCACTTGTTTTGCAGCAAAACAACCCGGGCTGCTCCGGAAGATGTTCCCAGCAGAGCATTCCAAAGATTCACTCGTGCAGGAAAACACTGGAGCTGAGCTCCCTTGCCAGCTCTTTCCCAATTTTAAGTTTAGCTCTCCCACTCGGGAGCAAGTGCTCCAACACCAGTTAAGAAACCTGATCTGATTTAACTTTCATTTTTCCCATAAACATCTAGAAAACTTTGTTTTTCTAATCAGTTTCCAACTCTCCAATCAGTTTCTTACTTTCCCCTCCTAATTACAATCTTGTTCTTTTCTACATACATTATTTCTTTGATAATTTTTCATCACTGGTTTTGTTGCTCTTTATATCTCCCTGAGATCCTAGTGTTCAAACTCGAGCAAGCATTCCCATTCTCTTCTAACGCGCTTGGCAAGGCCACCGGAAGGTCTCTATCTGAATGCTTAGCATATCTTCCTATATGCCACCAGTTGTTGCTCTTACACCTCCGTTGCCAACAAACATTGGGATTTTAATTCCTCTCAAGTGAGGAGCTACCTGGAGAGGCCCAGGCCGCAGGGCAACCAAGCAGACCTGTCACACACAACCCAGCTGCTCTCTTTCACTTTCCTTATTCACCGTCCTCCCGTTCTCTCCGAATTTGCCTTTGCCCTAGGCCTTAGTTTAATCCCATTCTCAAAATCAAAAGGTTTCCTCCTACTTTGTATGGCTCATGAAAGGTTAGCAAGTCTAACTAAATTGCTACAGGGGCCCTGCCTTCAGATTTCGGTTACTTTTTCGGTTTTTATCTGTATGCTGAGTCTTGTACCACCTGAGTCCCTTTCACGTGGCTTGCAGGCTAAGGCACAGGAAGAGGCTGAAGGCTGCAGACAGCCCAGTCTTCTCAAATATTGTAGTAACACTCTATGCATACTTAATGCTGTTCCACTAGCAAATCAGGAATCATTTTTTAAAGAATACTCCTAATATAATTAACAGCACACAACTTAACGAGATAGGAAAAACATTAAATACTGTACACAGGCATTCCAATTTCCACAGTGACAGACTATTATTATTTAAAACATTTTATGCTCTCTCACCTAAGGAAGTAAATATTGAAGTCTAAGTTTAAAAATAAATGTTTGTCATAACTATTGAGTAATGTCAGTGGCACAAATACAGCAGGCCATTTCCAAAGCGTTCTCAAGACAGAGCTATCAGTCTTTAGTAAAATTAGTAGAATTACACAGAGATTATTTCCAACTGATCGAATGGCTTGGTTTGCCTTTCTTTAGATCAACACAATGGGATGTTTTACCAAACATGCACGTGTTCATACATGATTCTATCCCTGAATCATAGATGCTGCAATCCCCCCTTAAAAAATGTTTTTTAAATAAACATGAATGTATTTCAAAATATTTTAAAACAACCTTGAATCAATCATTTGCACAGTGTGAAAACTGCAGTCTAAAAAGTCTCTGTATGAAAACATACACAACTCTGCAACATAAAATTCTCCATAAACTTCCACCTTATGTTCAAGCAGAGCTAAAGAAAAAATTACATAATATATTAGCTTGCAATTGCAAAGGACTCTTCAGGTTTTCTATTCATCTCTCAGACTCAAACACAAACTAGTAAAGAACTGTTAAGCTCTTTCACAATTAAACACACTGCAGAGCTAATAAATATTTCCTTTCTTCTCAATGTGAAAGAACTTCAATTTCTCTCATTCATTTGGAAAAGTGAGGATCAGCATATCCTGTTTCATACGCCAATAGTTTAAGCAATTCAGCAAAGATTCCTTTTGCAATTGAATTATCTTAAAATGAAAAACAGAACAAAAAGGTTTTACTTCTCTGAGATGATGTCCAGCTTACCTGACTTTGCCATTCCACACCGACAGGCTGAACAATATTATCAGCTCTTCAGGTACTAATTCTTGCTAACTGGAAGGATATTTTCTCTCTTGCTGGATTAATAATCAACTTCCCTGATAGTTCATTTGCAATTCTTCGCTGGTTAACCCTTTGCATGGCCCCTATTTTGAACGGAGCCACCTATCCTGTCCAGTTCATATTAACAGGAAAATAACAAACACAGACATGACAATTAAATGAAGAACTAACAAGGAAGTTAAAGAATAGATGGATTTAAAAAACAAAATGCCTACAATACTTAAAAAGTAGTTTCTCCTAAAGATCCTATTTTTAAATCTAAGATCCCGGTAAACCAAAGCATCAACAGAGTGAAAGCTGTAAGTCCAATGGCTCATACGACCACATGCTCCCTCGAAGCTGCTGCCCGACTTTGCCACTCCAGCCTACATCCAAGTCCGACACAGGCCTGCGGAGCTCTCAAAATAACATCTTTTATTATTGAATAGTTTGCTGAGAAATTACCACAGTTATCAGCGTGTGCAAGGCCATCCATCTGTGTTGTCAGAAAGCAAAAGCAAGAGTGGCCAGGAGTAAAAACGAGATAAGAGAGGCCCAGAATGGCTAAAAAAGGGAGTTCAAGTAAGGTCAGAAGAGTTTAAGATGGGATACGTTGCAATTACATGTAGTTTTATTTTTCAAAGATATCAGTAGCAAATTACTTACATTTTCTCAGTTTTGTAAGAATTCAGCACATTTTGGTAGCTCTGTTGTGAACTAAACAAACAGGTTATATATGGGCTTGAGAGGTCTAATGTAAGAAGGTGAAAAATACTGCAGAACCCAAAGTAGAGAAATGAAGCTGTGTTTTGGGGCTATAAGGTGGACTTTGGGATGTGTTTTCCGGGAGAGAAGAGGGAAAGAAGAAAGTTACTGCCTGGCTGAGGCATCATGCTACAAAAAGAGTTATAAAGAAAGGCTTTACATTTCTCTCTCTTTTTTTTTTTCTTCTTCTTCTTTTCTGGAAAACACTGACTTAGCTTTTTTCTAGGAAAAACATAAAAGATTACAGTTCCTTTCATAAGAGGAAAGCTCTCACTGGTAAAAGCAAGCTACAGTTATTTTATCAAATAATACTGAAGTACTTTGGATTTTCCCTTAGACAAAGGGACAGAGGCTCCTAAAGTTACGACGCGGCACAGAAGAGGCTTTTATCTACTTCCCTTTGCAAAAGAGCAGTCCTATAGCAAATGTGTTTTTACATGACTGTAGGCCTCTCTCTACTGTGGTACCTAATGCAGTTTGCTGTAAACTTTTTATGATACGTGCTGCTGAATTCATGAAAAAATGCTATAAAGTTGGAAGCAGATTTATTTCAGGTTTATAGTTAATTTTATTCTGCATGTGTTGGAAGGCAAACCTTTTAAGAACCCCAAGAACGCGAGAAAACTACAACTAAATTTATTGTTGGGCATCGCATCAGTGGTACTCCTGGGGGCTCCTCTTCATGGGAAGAAAGCTTAAACAACACTTTCTAACACATTGGATTGCTTCCCAGAGATGCGGTGGCCTACAGAGGCAGCGCTGAACAAAGCTGGCTGGAATAGCACGTCAGTAAACAGCCCCTTTCAGCGGATGGCCACAAATAAACGCAACTTTGTTTAATAAAGGGAAATTATAGTGATCTTGTGGGCTGTACAAGGCGCGTTATCTCTCTCTGCCGTTTCACCTGACTAAGCTGGTGGTATCTCTCCTATCACCTGAGCGAGCACTTGGCTGGAAAGAATAGGAGCAAACAATCCCCTATTGTGGAGGGGACAGCGACCTTCCATGTCCTTGGGGCTGCCATGACCTTTCCTCTCCCCTCGCCTCCAGTGTGCCCTCCTAACAACTAAAACTACGCTCGCTCAGGCTGAATTCCAGATTGTCATAAAAAAAGCCCTGTCCTTTCAAAACAAAACCAATTTTTACACCAAGGTGGAGGAGAAACACAGGTCCATTGTTCGTGCACAGATGGAAGTTCGAGTTACTACGGCAACAGCTCTAATCCCCCTTTTTACCACCTTTTTCACATCATTGGCCTATCAAGTGTGCTACCTTTTAACTCATAAGCTCAAAAGCTGGTAGTCTAACTGACTGCCCTAATTAGCCACGATTTTCACAGTACAGACAACATGATGAGCTAATCGAAATTTGCAAAATAATGACGTACCTCCAGCAAATATTCCTCCTCCTGAGGCCCAGTCTTCGAATAACAATAATGAGACCATTATTAGAGGAGGGCATTAAAATGCTGCACTGCTGCTAAACAGAGAACTTAATTGTTCTGGTCTTGTCCATTGAATCAACAACCTATTGTTGTGGACTTGAAAAATAAAGGGCCGCAGAATGGGTGCCATAATGATTGGTCTGTGCTGCCATACCAGCACTCTGCAGAATTGTTTTCCTTTTGAAACTCTTGATGGACTAGTAGTTTTGTTTAAAAGTAATATAAAAGGCAATTGTCTGGATAAAAAGTCCTATTTATTGAAATCTTTAGAAGCAGTAGCATGGATTTGGTCGTGACCCCCGAGATAAAAACATAAGGGCCGTAATAATGCTATTTGCAGAGGCTGCTGCTTGCAGTGACACTAGATAACGCGGGCCTGTCTGGCTACTGTAAAAGGAAGCGCGGCATTTCCTTCACACACACAAACCAAGACAGAAGGTCATGCAGTGGACAGATCCAACTTGCCTGCTAAAAGGAAGATATTTTTATTTAAAAAAATACCAGCAACTTGATCTATTTGCTCATAACCTTGATTCTGGGGGTCACATCAAACTGATCTGAAGGTACGTATACGTCAGGCACAGCACAGAACCTTTTCATTTAGGTTTGGATTTTATGGATAGTGAAAAGGACTGATCTTCTCTTCGCTTCTCTATAGAACTACATCCTAAAATTCGTAGCACAGAAGCTGAATTGCTTGCACCTAGGGATGTGGCAAGTCAACCGATGTGATTCCTGACTTACTCTTACCAAAGGATATGCCGTTTACTTAGAAGTCAAGTCATGTCTTTCTGTATTCTTGCCATTACCTCTCCATATTGCTGCCTATGAAGTGCACAAAAATAGGCTATGACTCTAGGCTAATAAAATTATGAAATACCAGAATTTGGGCTTGAAGGAGCACCCCAAAAAATTACTATTTATGTCAATGTGAATCATTTTTTTTCTCTCATTCTTATCAACACACTATAAATCAAAATAAGGGGGAAAAAAAGTTAAAAGGAACAAGAAGGACAAAAACTTAAAAGTTAAAGGTTAACTGGCAAGGCATTTTCAGCAGTCCTTAGAAGCACTCGCTTAATGTAAAGTTGTCTTGCGTGTACTCACAGAACACATTTCTTTTAAATTCAGAGTCTTTTCTTTTATAGATTGAAAAATGCCTAATATAAAGAAGTATTAAATTGTAAATAGGACCTCTTGCTTCATTCAATCCATGCTTTGCTTCATTTATCTTCATCTTGTTAGGCTAAATTAATTAACAATCTCTGTTTTGCACACTTTCTCTTTTCATTACATCAAATAATGGCCTGGATATGGGAGAAAGCCCTCACCACAGGGATCCTGAAACACTACCTTGAGGAAGACTCTCTTACATATGTATTGCTTCAGCTATATTAACTAGCTAGATGTTACACCATTTATTAAACGGATTCTTGATTGCTTTAAAACAATTACAATCCTGATTTTGTAAGAAATTGAATTATTTTAAAAAATAAGAGGCCTGAATTGTATTGTGCCTACAGCTTGTGAGCTATAAGTCACTAAAAGAATAATGAAAAAGGAGTACATAAATTCATAACCAGTTTTACCTCGTTTAGTATAAAAGGCCTGCATTTGAATACAATTTCTGGCCAGTTGCATGCACAGTCCTCAACACACTAATGTGTCAAATCTCTCAAACCAGGTTGTACCATTTGTCTGTGAATGTTCTGTATATAATTAGTTGGATGACTGGAACGGTTTTGCTGGTAAAGCTGGTTATTTTAATACCGTAATAGGGAGCAACGTGCTAAACTATTAGGCAAGGTTTCCTCCTTTAACCTACATTATGGCATCCAGAGCAAAAGGACAAAACAGTAAAGCCTTTTTTAATCTCACCCTGATCAAACAACCCTCCTTCTCCAATCACAGCTTTGTGCGTGATATCTTTCTGCTAGTGTTTCTTATTTAATTAAAACAGACACTGACAGAAGGACATGGATTAGGACTGTAATGATGCATTTACTTAGATTAATCGGAGGCTCCTTTTGGAGTAATGGCTTAGACAAAGAACAAAAGGAAATTGTTATGAAACAGCCTTTTATCCCAGGCAAAGGTCACATTATGAGGTTTTTAATTTTGTCAGCCTCTGTTATATCGGGCCTTGCTACTGGAACATGAGAAGTGCCTCTCTCCCTCTCTCCCCCGAGCAAAGCCAGTTATTATAATACAGCCATTAAAGCTGCAAATTAAAATGTCTGATTTTCAAACAGGTTGCTTGGCTTTCAAGCCCCTCTAATTAGCATGTAGCACATTGTTGTGCGGGAAAGAAACTGCAGATGCTAATGACCCGGTGCCAGGTGACAGCGCGGCCGGGCTGCATCCGACGGGCCCTTCGGAGCCGCGCTCCGACCAGCGCCTCTGCCCAGCCCTCGCGCCAGGAGTGAACGCGCGCGCAGACGAGGATCAGAGTTCAGCAGCGCCAGCACAAGGGGTTGTTGCAGGTTAACCAGGGAGCAGCCCGCGCGCACGCCCAAGGGGAAACACCGGAAACCTCCGCGGGCCCTTGGGCCAAGTGCAGCCAAAAGCAAGGAATGGAGAATTCTTGCTATCTCAGAAGGAAACTTCAGAGAAACTTCTGTCCTCTCTGCAGTACTTGAAAACCTCACACAACTGACCTCTTTCTGGGAACCATAGCGGCAAAAACAGAGCTTATCCACCTCTGTTCCTCTCCAGAAACACCCCAGCCAGTTCCAGCAAACTGGGCTTCCACCTGGCAACAGGGCTCACCTCCTGGCAAAGCATGAGCCAAGTCCTCCGCCCAGCTCAAAAAGCATACGCCAGATTCGGCCACCTTGTAGCTACCCGAGATCAGCAATGCTTCACATTT